CGAGGCCCAACGCCTGGTCGTCGACATCCTCACGGGAAACGGCGTCCCGGTCGACAACGCCGCGCTCGTGGCACGCTGCCTCGTCGCCGCCGACCTGCGAGGCGTCGACTCGCACGGCATCAACCGGATCCCCTCGTACGTCGCGCGCATCCGCCGAGGCGTGTTGGATCCCGCCGCCCAGCCGCTGGTCAACCAAGTGACGCCCGCAGTCGCCCAGGTCGACGGCCGCAACGGCTTCGGCTTCGTGGCCGCCCATCTGGCCATGCGCGCGGCCATCGACTCGGCCACCGTCTACGGCATCGGCATGGCCAGCGTCAAGCACTCGAACCACTTTGGCATGTCGGCCTGGGTCGTGCAGCAGGCTCTCGACGCCGACATGATGAGCCTCGTCTTCACCAACTCCAGCCCTGCGCTGCCGCCGTACGGAGGCCGGACCAGGCTCTTGGGCGTGTCCCCCATTGCGTGCGGCGCCCCGGGCAAGGGCGCCATGCCCGACTTCATCCTCGACATGGCGCCCTCGGTGGCGGCCCGCGGCAAGATCTACAAGGCCAGGCGCCGCGGCGACAAGATCCCCCGGGACTGGGCCCTCGACGCCCAGGGCCGTCCCACGGACGACCCGGCCGCGGCCCTCGACGGCGGCGTCATGCTGCCCATGGGCGGGCCAAAGGGCTCTGCCTTGGCCATCATGATGGACGTCTTCTCGGGGGTGCTTTCCGGATCGGCCTTTGCCGGCCACGTGACCGGGCCGTATGATGCGTCCAGGCCGGCCGACGTGGGCCACTTCGTCGTCGCCATCCGGCCGGACCTGTTTATGGATCTGGACGAGTTCCGCGATCGGATCAGGTATCTGTATGAGAGGGTCGTCGGCGCGCCCAAGGCCGCAGGCGTCGACAGGATCTATTTTCCCGGCGAGAGGGAGCAGCTCACGGCGCAGGAGAGAGCCACGACGGGCATTCCCTTGGTCCAGGCTGAAATCGATGCGTTGAACGCGGAAGCACAACGTGTGTCGGCCAAACCGCTCGCGCTCGGCCTCTGCACCGGCGGAAAAGATGCCCGCGACGCAGAATAATACCATGAGCGCGAGGGCCCAAGCACACAGCCTTGTTGACGAGCCGTAGAAATGTTTCATCATCTTGTGTTGGCTCGGTCGGCACCGGCATATACCCCGGAACATGCCATGAATTGCAGGGGTTTTGTATTGGCCTTGCTGGGGCCGCTGGGTTGGTCACGGGTCACTGGTCACTGGTCGACAGACCATACCTCGTAATCGAGATGGAGTCGCTCCTTCGATTCCGGTCCAATTTGCAAACGACTCCGCAATTTACCTACCCACTGGGTAGGTCGTCGCCATTCTTGTTACTCCCAACTTCCCGCTGCCGCTGCCGCGGATCCGTGACAACGCCCAGGCGTATGTGCCTCATCTGGACGCTTCGGCACCGCGAAAAACCATGGTTGGGACGTACTCATCATGAAACATCGGTAGTTGTTCTGATCCATGCCGCCCGCCATCACGCATCTTTAGGCTGTTGCGCGAATCCGGACAGGTCAGTGATGTCAAAGTTGAAACTCGACCTGGACTCATTCATTCGAGGAACGGCATACATAATCCTCCGAGGGCAAAACCGTGCCGTATACCCACGGTCCCACACCCCGTCTTCTCATGCACATGCATGTTATGATGTCAATAACGCGCTGAAACAAAAAAGGACTGTCAAGGGGGAAGCTTCATTTGTTTGACTGTTGGGACCGTCGCCGGTCGGGGGAGGGCCCAGGGGTAGACGTGAAATCTCGGACATCCACTCTTCCCGCCGCGCTCTATCTAGCCCTCTCCCGAAGGAATGACGAAGCGGAAGGACAAAGGACGAAGGACGCAGGCGGCAGGCGCCAACAGCAGATCCACGGTCCGTCCAATCTAGGCAAAACAGGGGCGTTTTATGCAATGCGGATTTGCTCATCAGACCCCCTTACTGAGGCTTGACCGGCCTGATGGTCTCGAGACGCCAGCTGCACTTCCGAGACGCTGTCTGCATGGCACGATGATTTCGCATCGGTTTTGTTCTTGTTTTTTCTTTATTTTTCTTTTCATTTTTTCCTGTCATTAGGCGCTTTGTTTGTACATTCTGGCTAATCCTTCTCATGCGTCGTGAGGACGGAAAAGAGAACAAAATAGTAATAGTCTAGTGGCTAAATTCCCCTGAAACGATCCACATCCCACAACACCAGCGCCAGCGCCAGCGCTGCGAAAAAGAAGCAAAAAAAAAAAAAAAAAAAAAAAAAAAAAAAAAAAAAAACGGAGCAAAGCTAATTCCCGATTCGGGTGTGCTCCCTTATTTCGATTCAGGGACTCCATCTCTCTCTCGCTTCGTCCGTCGGTCTCTCTGGGTAAAGCCATGTAGCCTGCTATAAGAAGGGAATTTGAGCGCTCCCTACCAGTTCAGGATGATGGAGCGAGTACATGGTCTTTTCGTCTTTTCCGTTCACTTCACAGAGCGAATACCCTGATTCCTTGTTCCCCTTCTGTTTATTTTTTTTTTCTCCTTTGATTTTGCTGTTTACTCAATTTTCTATATCTTTTTCTCCATCCACGTATCATTGTTATTATCGTTTTCTTCGATTCCCTCTTTATTTTGGTTTTTTTTTTTTTTTTCCTTCCAACAGACCAACACTCATAACCGCATCTGTACTTCATCCCCCCCGCCAGCCATGAAGCTGCTCGTCTCCCTGGCGTGGATCGGCGCCGCCGCCGCGGCAGTGGCCTCGCCTCTCGACGCCCGATCCAGCCTCCCCAGCAAGTTCTCCTGGACATCGACCCAGCCGCTCATCTACCCCAAGAACGACGGGCGCAACATCAAGGCCATCAAGGACCCCTCGGTCATCTTCCACGGCGGCAAGTACCACGTCTTTGCCAGCACGTACCAAAAGTCGGGCTACCAGCTCGTCTACGTCAGCTTCTCGGACTGGGAGCAGGCCCAGGAGTCCACCTTCCACTACCTGGACCAGACGCCCATCGGGCCGGGCTACCGCGCCGCGCCCCAGGTCTTCTACATGGCGTCCCAGAAGCTCTGGTACCTGATCTACCAGAGCCACGGGGCCTCGTACTCGACCAACACCGACATCAACAACCCCAAGGGGTGGACCGCCCCCAAGTCCTTCTACCCCAGCACGCCCTCCATCATCCAGAACAACAAGGGTCAGGGCCAGTGGGTGGACATGTGGGTGATTTGCGACTCGGCCAAGTGCCACATGTTCTCGTCCGACGACAACGGCCACCTCTACCGCGCCGAGACGTCCCTCTCCAGCTTCCCCGCCGGCATGAGCCAGCCCGTGGTCGCGCTCCAGGAGTCCAACAAGTGGGCGCTCTTCGAGGCCAGCAACGTCTACAAGGTCGGCGGCGCCTACCTCCTCATCGTCGAGGCCGCCGGCAACGACGGCTTCCGCTACTTCCGCTCCTGGACCTCGAGCAGCCTCTCGGGCAAGTGGACCAGCCTGGCCAACACGGAGCAGAACCCCTTCATCCGCTCCAACAACGTCCAGTTCACAAACGGGACTGCCTGGACAAAGGCCTTCAGCCACGGCGAGGTCGTCCGCTCCAACGTCGACCACACCATGACCATTGACCCCTGCAACATGAAGTATCTGTACCAGGGCTTCGACCCCAAATCCACCGCGGATTACGACCTCTTGCCGTACAGGCTTGCCTTGCTGACCCAAAAGGGTGGATGCTGATATTTTTTTTTTGTTTTTGGGGATTCTCATGCACGAGGAAGAGGGGAAGTGATTGATGGAATCGGGAGCTGGGTCCGGGCTTGCTCAGGCTCGGAAACCGTCTGCAGATTTCCAGGAAGAAAAAGGAGGGAGTATCTGCTAGAAAAGTCCCCAGCGCTGCACGGTACAGACAATATGCTCTCTGTTCCCTACCCTGTCTGTCACCATGTTCCTCGATGTCCTGTTGTCACTCACAAAACGTACATATTTACACACACACAAGTAAACAAACCAAGACAAAAAAAAACCATACTTTCCCCGCCGGCGAGGAAAGGCGGCTAAATCTTCTGCGAAGGATTCCCTACGATATACATTGCAACCATTGTGACTGGGCAGGCGTGTCTGATAATCGTCTGATAAACCTGCCCCCTTGTGCCAGACGCCCGGTTTTGATAGCCATAGGTTGGCACGTCTGGTCCCCCCCCCCCCCCCGGGCCCAATGGACGTACTGACGGGCGCGCCATCACTTGCGGCAACCCCTGGCGCACATTGGATTGATGAGCACCGGGAGTCGCCATCGGGGAATCATGTATGCATGCAAACACGATCTAGCGTGATACGCCACCGCCCACGGTCGTGTTAGCTGGCTGCCTGCCCCCGATGACCCCAGATGCAGCATCCATGGGCGACGTGTCTGCAATTCGAGCAGCATCCACGTCTAGAGGGGCAAAGAAGAAAAAAATCTACGCTGGGGGGGGGGGGGGGGGGGGGGGGGGGGGGGGTAGCCTTTGGGCCAACTTTGCTGTTCATCCACTGGACTGGCAAAACGGCCGAGTCTGTTCTTAGACTGCACATCCTGCGCGGATGCAGAAAACACCCATTGCCGCTTTGACACCACGTTTGGCCGGAAGAGTCATGTCCATGCGGGGGCGCTTGTTCGAAGCGGAGGCCGGTTCCTCCTGCGGCGTGCCCGATGCGGAGATGCCGTGCCTTCTTTCCTACCGGGTTGCGAAACCCCGGGGCGCGGGTCGGCGGCCGAGGGGAGGGCGGCCGTTGAGGTTCAGATGAGGAAGGGAGGAAGGGAGGAATGTTTGGAGTTGGTGGACTTGGGGGCGGTTTCGGAATGGAGAGGCGACTTTCTCGGGGCGACCGACACCGACGCGTGCGCAGGTGGGCGTGGGTTGTGGAAAGAAAAAGGCAGTAACGGAAAGACGAGTCAATCGATCAATCTTCTACTTTCACTACGAGATAGAGAATACGTTAATGGAAAATGGAAAAAAGGCGCAAAAAGGCTTTACCAAGACTGGGGTTCGAACCCAGGAAACTTTCGTTAGGGGAGTTGAGAAGTTCACAGACTTAAATCCACCGCCTTAACCACTCGGCCATCTTGGTGTGCGCCACTGTCTCACAGCCGACCCTCTTATAGAACATGATGCAGTGTTCGCAAAACCAGCCACCATCCACCCACCCGACGCCAGGAACAGGGTGTGTCGCACGGCGGCACGGGGGCGGCGCATGTAGGGGAAATCTGACGCATCGATTCGTTGTTTATTCACATGCGGCTTTTGTGCTTTGTGTGCGAGGGGGGCCATGGAAAACCTGGTCTGGTCTGCGCCATCGTCGGTGGCTGCAGCCGGCGTGCAGACGGTATGCAGGTCACAGGTTACATGCTACAGGTACGGTGGCTCGCGATTCGACGACGTGCAAACTGCTTCCAGAAGTGTGAATTCTCGACTACAAAGGTCAACTTTCTCGGCTACATAGTATTAACAGAAGGAATTGCTATGGAGCCAGAGCGAGTCAAAGCAGTAGTAAATTAGCCAGAACCTCGCAGCGTTAAAGACGTGCAATTATTTCTTAGGTTTACTAGCTTCTACTATTATTTTATTTACAAATATAGCAAGATTACAGCTCCCCTTACTGATTTAACAAGGAATAATACAATAAGGCTACTTACATTAGGTCCCCGCGAGCGCGAGGCGTTTAAGACGCTTAAGTAAAGCTTTATTATAGCACCTATTCTAGTATATTTTGATTTAGCCACGCTATTAAGAATAGAGACTAATGTATTATGCTTTATAATTAGCGTAATTCTTTCACAGAAGCAAGAAGACTAATAGCATCCTATTATATACGCGTTAAGGAAGCTACTAGGTGCTAAAGTGCATTATTTAACTCCTAATGCTAAGCTACTAGTAATTTAAGAAGCCTTTAAGAATTAGAGATATTATATAGCCTATAATACCTAACCTATTTAGGTTATTATAAATTATCTTAATTACAAGTATCTTGCATTAAAGCCTAAGCTTACTAGCAAGTAAGTATAAGCCCTTAATAAACTTAATTTATATAACTTTATAATTAAATATAGGCCAGGGGTTAAGAACCCTACAGACTCTTTATCTTATAGGTTAAACTATAATACTAGCATTAAAGACGTAGGAGCTTCTTAAGCTTTACATTTTTTATCTAAGTTTATTAGTATAGAGTTAAAGTAATTAAGCTTTAAACTACCTCTAACTAAGAAAGAAATAGTTACTATTAGT